CTATATATAGATAGATAATAGACAATTAAAGAACATATTGTATACCATATATACAGGATAGATCAGAGAAAAAGATATATACAGATAGTCAGAAAGATATAAAAATCCATGACATGCTCTATCCATCATTGAAAACAAATGAAGATATAACAAGCCTTAATCTCAAGAGAGACTTTTTCTCTTTCCTCACTGGCACTAGATATTTCCTTGGAGACCACGCTATCTGCTGGCCAACAGGACTGATATCTACTAAGTATAAATATGTGCACCTGAATGTAATTTTCATAAACACTGCTTTCTTATCAGGCTTCTTTCCTTTCCAATACTCAACTGAATGATATGTCAAGGTCTACCTAAAGTTGAACAGCACCCTTTCATCCAAGTGTGTAATGCACATCAGGTCAAACAAGTATCATTATCGTTCACTAAAAGTTATCACAAAAACAGCAAACTCTTTTGGAGACAAAATCAACACAAAAATGAAGCATCTTACAGAAGAAAAATGAACACATGGAATGGCAAAGGGTGTGTGGTGTATGGCTCACTCTGGTTCACAACTGCACAATTTAGTAGCAGCAAAGTGGGTAACTTGAAGCACCTTGGGATGGTACAATAGGGTCACCAGGGAAACAATCTAGGCCAGTGCAGGAAGGACAAAAAGTGGAAATAAAAAAAAACACACAAAAGAATAGTAATAAAAAATGAAGTGGAAAATTTCTCTCACTTCTGCATTCTCAAACAATTGTTTCATCATTCACATTTTTGTCCACAACTGTCTATAAAAATAAGAAATATAAATATGTGGAGTTTTAACCAAATGTTACAATCTTTGTGAGAGACTGCAACTGTGTGCAATGGCCATGACTTTGTATGTGGAAGGCAGGCAGGGTTGAGACGCACAGCCTCCGACCAAGATCACTTACCTGTTCTCTTGAGGATGCCGCCTCCTGCTCCAACTGTCTCCTCCGCTCCTCCTCCTCTGCTTGCTGCCTCTTTAGCGCTGCTTCCCTGGTGCAAGTCAGAGGAAATCATACTTCAGTCTGTCACTATTTCTAACCCAATGGTGTGTTCCTTCATGAGATATATATATGAGAAGTTCCACACTATCAGATGAGACAACATAATCAAGGATTCCAGAGCAATGCAATGATTTCAAAAACAGATAATTCACCATGAATATATATTTTTGAAGTAGGAACTTGTTCTAGGTGTATATTGCTATGATGCCCCTGCAGTTATTTTACATTTAACCCATTGGTGACGGGTGTCCCATATATGAGACACCCGAAAAAATAAAATTGCCGGGCGTCCCGCCAGTATGACGCTGTATAAGGGCATGCGCTCCGACGCAGCAGCGGGTCGCAGCCGGCGGGCTGACAGACTCCAGGAAAGCTCCGCTTGCCGATTTTGTAGCAGCCAGGAATATTTTATTTTTGGCTTCAAAATACCCCGGCATGAATGGGTTAATAACATCACCTCCATTATCAGTACTGTAAAAAAAATGATTTAATTTTTTAACATACCTCTTCTCCAGCTCTGCAATTCTTGCCATCTCCTGCTGTTCTTGTTGCTGAAGTCTCAATTGCTCCTCCTCATTCTGTTTCTTCATTGATGCTTCCAACTGCTTCTGCTTGACCTGCTCCCTCAAGTACTCCTCATCTGCGTGCTTCTTACGCAGCCGCTCCTCCTCCTCCTGCTGTTCCTGTGCTAGCCTCATCTTCTCCTGCTGAATGATGGCAGCATCTCCTTCATATCTCTTCTTCTTCTCCTCCTCCAACTGCTTCTTTCTTTCTTCCTCTTGGTTAGCAGCAAGATTCTCAAAGCGTGCTCTCAGGTTAGAGGCCTTCTCTGACGCTGATGAAAAGATGGATAAATACTGATTAATCAAAATATATGCATTAATACCAATTATTCATTGATTGCCTAGGTGATAATCCCTGGGATTCCAACAAATTCTCAAATGTATATATATAAATAACAACAGAATTACTCATATAAACAGAACTATAATGACTGTCAGCGTTGTCTTCCTAGAGAAAGATCTGGAAGTAATACCTTGGACATCTGGCTTGGTCCTTTGGTAGTTGGTTCCAATACTTTCCTGCTTCTCCTCAAACTTGTGGGCTGACTTATCCATGCGGTCTGACTGAACCCCAAACTTACCACCAAAGCCCTGCAAAACAGCCAAAATAAATGTGACATAAAACAAGTGCTTCCAGTTCCTAGGAAAATACATGAAGTTCAGCAATATCGGTTTAGTCACAAGCAAAGCCTCCACTTTGCAATGCTATAAGCTCTTTCCTGCATCTGCGCTGTTGCTGTTTTACCATTTTCTGAAGACTATATTTGACATTTGTTATGCTGTACCAGGATTATAACATTTTTTATTGAGTAGTGAATTATCATTTTTTTTAACACCCTAAGCTGCAGATAATGGCAGGTAGGAATTGTGGGTTGGTATTACCTCTTGAGGGTAATCTGACACCATAGGTTCTTTCGTGATATTTATTGGCACAGAACATACAGCAAATATATGACAGTACATCCATACATCAAGGGGGTAGCCGTCTCTCTGTCTGGGCCAGACCCATTAAGGTCCGCAGGGTATAGCAACCAGAGACTGTTGCTAAGTAACTAGAGTGAGATGCCAAGTAGTTGTGGCAGTTCACATAACATTACATATATATATACATGATAGCTATCATAGGAGAAAAATATAACTATCCCACAGGAATAGATTCCTGCACATGGACAAAATGTACTTTCTGGAGCCAGTGTTCTTACATGCATGGTGGAAGAATGGGACACTTCACCCTCATTTACAACAGGAATAGGTTCCTGCTCATGGACAAAATGTACTTTCTGGAGCCAGTGCTCTTACATGCATGGTGCAAGAATGGGACACTTCACCCTCAGTTACCAATGGAAATGTCGCTAGAACCTCTTCCTGAAGGTCCCTTGAGAATCTTCCTCCAAAGAATTAGAGCACTTATGCATGAAGTCCCCATCCCATGTCATTCAGAAATAGTTTTCCAAGGTGAGATGTTCCCATCATCTGTTCAGGAGCCAAATTTTCATAGCCATCAATAGACATTGAATTCCATATACAGTAAGTAAAATTATATCAAATTTAGCAAAGTAAAGTACATTTGAATCAAATTACCTGCTTTGATTTATGACAAACATGGGTGATATTAACCCAGTGCCGACAGGTAAAAATGTTTGGCAAGTGGACGTAATAACAGGATTTTTGGCGCACATCGGCAGTTTCCCCTGTTTGCGCCTGGCTCGGTCAGTAGTTTGCAAACGATATTTGGCACCTAAAAGCTTTTATTTTGCTATAATTTATAAAAATATTATAATTTTGAAGGTTTACCTTCACTATAGGTGCCATTGCCTAAAATCTTTACCATATAAATGAAGCCGCTACAATCGGAGAAAAACAAACTCCGTCCGACGAGCCAGTGGTGCAAGAATGGGCATGATACGATGCTCTCTGTTTTTCAATCCACAACAGCCATGGCAGGTACGTACATGCCACCCGTCAGCTACGGGTTAATAACACAAATGCTACTACCTCTTATTATAGCTAAGAGTTGTAGACTACCTACAGTGATAATAAAAAGTATGCTCAGCAAAAATAATTTATTACCATCTTGATACAGTAAAATAAATGACAAATATAGACCTCTGTTAATGGCCAGTAAGCAAACAATAAAGAAAATGTTTAGGCAGAAAAAAAGATAATAAAAATTCAAGGAGGAGGCAAGGAGTCTTGAAACTGTGCAAAAGTGCTTGTGTGGGCCGGGCCTTCAAGCCACACACCTGGGAGAGTTACCAATGATGTATGCCTAACATCTTGATTTTGCACCATGTTCAGGGATGTGAGGCATCCAGATCCAATGGATTAAGTATCACACATCTTACAATATGTCATTTCAAATAAGCTTTACCTAAACAAAAAATCTATTAAGGGTTACCTTATATCACATAAAACTGATTTCACCCTTTTGGATATGATGTCACCACTAATGCCCTATTGGTGGTAAGCCAGAATTTCCTGTATCAGGACTGGGTGACCCATTATCTAAATGAAGTAATGGCTTGGGGTCTTTAGTCCAGCCTTCTGAACACAGTGCCCCCATCAATATCATGGTAGTAAGCCAGTTTCCCATTTCTTAAATCCCCCAGTTAGGCTTATGCCATTTTCATTCCAGGTGTGTTCTGGGTGACTTCCCACCTTAAATCAGAGAACATTTTTTGAGAGGTTGTCAGTTTTTTGGAATCTAGTAGTTATCTTTGACATTTCTGTATTCCTTAACCCCTAGCAGACGGGTGGCATATACATATATGCCATGGACTGAAACACAGATGGCATCGTATCATGCCCATTCCTACACCACTGGCTCGTCAGACGGAGTTTGTTTTACTCCAATAGTAGCAGCTTCATTTATATGGTAAAGATTTTAGGCAATGGCATCTATAATGAAGGTAAACCTTCAAAATTATATTTTTATAAATTATAGCAAAATAAAAGCTTTTAGGTGCCAAATGTCGCTCGCAAACTACCAATCGAGAAGGGTGCAAACAGGGGAAACTGCCCATGCGCGCCAACAATCCCGTTATTACGTCCACTTGCCAAACATTTTTACCCGTCGGCACTGGGTTAATAAAGATATTGGGCCATCAACATTCTTTGGATGTATTACAGTCCAATCTATTAGACAGTCATACCAAATGGACAAGATTTTTTATATTCTCTCAATTATGTTTTTCTTTAGAATTGTTGGACCAGCAATACCCTTTGCATTCACTGTGAATCCTGAGATTCACTGTGGATCCAGATTCAAACTACATGACATGTGAAAACTAGTGTAAAGGCATGTCACTGACCCAGACCCAAATGATGATCATCTGAACAAGCATGCTCCATATACCTAGCCTCTGTGGAGAGTGAGGGCGGGTCAGAACAGAATATGTTGTCTACCTGCTCCTAAGGGGGTGCAATGTGTCCCTCACCAAGTGACCTAAAATACCTTAACCAAGGCATGATATGGTTACTGCAATGATTACTCACATCAATCCCCTCACTTAGCTATGAAAGAAGGGAGGCCAAAGTGGAATACACAGGGAAAGAAACAAATAGAGACTAGAACAGATGTAGATTATAAAGTAAGGAAAAAATACAATGCAACAAAACTCAAAATCTCAGGAATGGATACACAAAAAGAGCAATATTAGGAAGAATCACATAAATAAACAGAAGAGAAAATATTTTCCAAGTGAGAAGGGCATGGAGTTCAGATTTTTCGGGTCTTCATAGGCAGGACCAAGGTCATTTAATAAGAAATGGCCTTTGACCTCCTCTGCAAGACTCCTGATAAACTGTCCTACACAACGGGGAAAGATGCAAATCATGATCTTGTCAGACTAACTGCACAACAAGCATCCATGGTTTTTAGTGTCTCCTGCGAGATGAAATTCTGTCTTACTCTGAGCGTTCGCCAATCAATTTTTGAGCTGCATCAAGCATTTCACGCTTGAAGATATCCCACAGCAGTACAGGGTCCATGAGGTTGCAGAGTGATGTAATAATTAGCCTCAGCATATTCCAGGGCACACAGCCCCTTCCTCAACCTGCCCAAATGAAACACCCTAGGATGATCACTGAACCAACAGGGAGTTTTGAAGTGGACTCGGAGGTTAATCACAATTAATCTGTGATACCAAAGAACTCGGCACTCCTATAAACCCTGCAGTTCTGAAGGATCCTCTAACGAGTGCTAACGAGGATGTGGGTGATCTCCTTCACCACATCACCCACATCACTGTACCATGCCCAATGATGTGGGTTAGAGTGCTGCTACCAAAAGCCAGAAATCCCCAATTTCCGAGACCTTGCAAAGTCCCAGTAAAGGAGAGTATTCTCACTGTCAGCATCAGCTCCTTAGCCATGAGGACCAATAGATATCTTATAGCCAGCTCAATCACAGCCAGATACCGCATTGTAGTCATTATTAAAACAATATTATTATGATGATTATTATGATAATGATGATGACATTAATAATTTCAACAATAATAATATAATATAATGACAATAAAATAATAATAATTATTATATTAATATAACAACAATATAATAATAATATCAACAAACAATAATAACATTAATAATAATAATATCAGTAACAATAATAATGACTATTTATAATATAATATAACAATAATAATAATAAAAAATCTAATATTACAAAAAAACAATAATAATATATAAATAGTAACAATAAGAAGAATGAGAAAAAGCAGACAAAATAAAACAATAACTATAATCATCATCATCATAACAATAACAACAATAATAAAATATCTAAAAGAATGAAAACTTGAGAGAAAAAGAAAGGCCCACCTTAGAGTGGTCCATCTGGCTCTCGTGCTTCTCAACCTTCTCGATATGGTCCCACCCGGCTGCTGTCTTGTCCTGCCGATCCTTCTGGACGCCAAACTTCCCGCCAAAGCCCACCGAATAATCTGAAGCCATCAAAGTACAGTTCAATGCTTAGCAGGTCTTTGCTTGGTCTAGACTCATGTTGAAAGGGTATGCTGATGGCACTGAGTATGCACTCAATCAGTTAGTTACTTATGTGAGTTCTCAAGCACACATCACAAAGTGAAAGATTGAATACATGGTACTATATATAGCATGATGAAAAGATTTTTTAAAAATTAATAAACAGGGAGAAGACAATAAAATCTGCTTCCAGCCATATTTTACACATATAAAATCACCTTTCTGACTCTCGTGCTTTTCTACTTTCTCAATGTGGTCCCATCCTGCAGCAGATTTGTCCTGGCGGTCTGATTGCACACCAAATTTGCCGCCAAATCCCTGTGTGTAGTCTGCATAAAGCAAAGTTTGGGATATAGCAAACAGCAAAAAAGAGGGAAAATGGCAATGGCAAAAAAAATAAAATAAAAGAGGAAGAAGAGCAGTAAGCTTAGGCACCTCATTCCTGACATAAAAACTTCCTTTCTTAAATATGTGATTAATAAAAAAAAAAAAAAAAAAAAAAATCTGAAACATGAAAAACATTCAATATAGATATGATATATATTCATATATGGATATTCACATAAATCTAAATGGATATATAAACTATTCACTACAATGCCTACAAAGTACAACCTTGAAATCTGGCACACCTTTCTGGCTTTCATGCTTTTCCGTTTTCTCTATGTGGTCCCAACCTGCTGCAGACTTATCCTGTCTGTCCTTCTGCACTCCAAACTTTCCTCCAAAACCTTTAGAATAGTCTGCACCAGGTGAAAAGATTGACAAAGCTTAGATGAACGCCTCATTATTACTATGAACTACAGAAGTACCCAATACATCAGAAATTCTTATTCTTTTCTTTCTTCAATAAATCCTTTTAAATATCAGTACAGAACGAATAATCAACCAAAGTTCTCGAGGAGCATATTGTATTTCCCTGCATGCAAGATTTTGTAGAAAGGTATGAATGAGAATGAATATCTTCACAATACTGGTTTCAAATATATATTTCTGATGAAGATATATTTGAAACTGGTCAAATACATCTCTTTTAAGGTGAAGATATTCATTCTCATTCATACCTTTCTACATTTGTCAAAATGAATACAGTTCATACAAGTCTTTTTTAGTACCTTAACCCACTAATGGGGGTATATTTCGAAGGCGAAAATAATAATTTCTGGGTGGCTACAAAATCGGCGCACGGGCCTGGCTGGAATCTGCCCACATGCCGACCGCAGCGCACCAGCCGCGGCCTGCGACGGAATCAGAGCAAAAGCTCCGATCCAACATCATACTTGCGGGACGCCCAGGAATGTTTATTTTTCCGGGTGTCTCATATGTGGGACACCCGTCGTAAATGGGTTAAGTTATGCTCAAAACCTACAGTAATCATTGGCAGTCCATGGGTTGAAATTTGGACAAGTATAAAGTTTAAAGTTTACGTTGTGCAAAAAAACAACTATTTGAAATGCCATGTTTTTTTTTAGCTTGTGTTTTCTTTTAGTTTCTGTTTTTCTTTCAGTTCTAGTATTTTCTTTTAGTATTGTTTTCTGAATTCTCCTTGAAAGGTATTAAAAGGAATAATAGTAACTTCATCACACTATAACTACCAGCCAACTCCTTTCTCAGGGAAATAACATTAGAAATAAGTGAGCAAATTGAGCAATCCTATTCTAAACAACTTATGTATGAAATCAGCTCCTCTCTCTCTTAAATTTAACCTATCTAAAAATAACACATATAGAATCTACAATGGAAGTCCAACCCTGTCACACCTCTTTGACTCTCGTGCTTCTCTGTCTTCTCTATATAATCCCAACCTGCTGCAGACTTATCCTGTCTATCCTTCTGTACACCAAACCTTCCTCCAAATCCTTTGGAATAGTCTGCCGCATGCAAAAAGAATAACACAATTTAAAGTCAATATAGGAACTGATGATGAAATTATACACTGAATATTACGTCACACTGTTCCAAACTGAGATTAACTTTAAAAAGCTCATGATCATCACAATAAATACTAATAATGATGCAAGAACTATCACAATACTAATCTATATCTGATATTGAGATTGAGTACTGGTGATCAAATAAAATTATTTTTTTGCAGAATTGAGATTACTGGTAAACAATACTGGTAACCAATTCAGTCCAAGGACATTGTATGCTAGTCCTGGCAGTATGAATAAAGAATACAAGGACACTGCTAGGACAACCCTTCTCAAAATGAGTAGCAAGAATCTCAAATCTGTTTCTAATGTGCCTCTGTCCGGTTGCTTGATTCATTTTGTTCTGAAAAAATAACTAATGTGTATGGAGGGGAGGGTTCATTCCAATATTGTGTGCAAGTAGTAGTCCACGGTACCCTAGTACGAGAAAATATGGAAGAGTAGACCAAGGTGATATCTAGACATTTATCACATATAATTTGAACATCCCACTGAGTCTTCAATCATACTAAAGTATACAGCTAAAAATGTTTTTTTTTTTTTATGTATAAGGAATGAAAGCAATACCCAGAATAGAGACACATGGTAAACCAAAACATGTGAAAAATGAAAGACAAAAGTCAAAAGGCCTCTGAATCTACACTGATGTAGAACCTTCCAATATCCAAACCAAACTGGTTATAGGGATCTGTACACAAACTATGAGCTGCAAGCGCACCCTTCTGGCTTTCGTGTTTTTCCATTTTCTCTATGTGGTCCCAACCTGCAGCAGACTTATCTTGTCTGTCCTTCTGCACTCCAAACTTTCCTCCAAAACCTTTAGAGTAGTCTGTATGCAGCATGTTAAAAAAACATAAAACATTTTGACTATTCATACAAAAGAATGCATAAAATATTGTTGTATAGCATGTATCCTCAAACTCCTGACTAACAAAAATATGCTTATTCACTTGAACTGACCGTAGTGACCAATTACTGATATCAGACTTGCCATAATAAAATGCCAATTCAAACGAAAGGGAAAAATAAATATAACTGCCATATTCTTAAATTAATGGCTCTTAATTCTTTTGATATAACAAAAGAATATCATGGTGTTAGCAATGGTAGCAGATTAAACTGTAAATGCACACCTTTCTGACTCTCATGTTTCTCAACCTTTTCAATGTGGTCCCATCCTGCAGCAGATTTGTCCTGGCGGTCAGACTGCACACCAAACTTGCCACCAAAACCCTTGGAGTAATCTGTGTCAGGCAGAAGATTGGCTGTAGCACTCTGGGCAACACAAGCATGGGAAGACAAAACAAAAAGCAGGCAAAAATATTCGGGTTTACTACTTAATGGCAACTAAAACTATTGCAACACTTTTTCTTCTAGCCTCTGGGTTTTTACTTTTAGGTCAAAGAAACTTATGGAACCATCACTTATTTTTGCTTGAATTTTTATTTCTTCTGAAGCGATTTGGCAATACTAACAGAGTTTGGTTGGAAAGAAA